TCTGAGTCCCGAAAAATCTGACTCCCGAAAATCGGAGTCCCGAAAACTCCGACTCCCGGAAATCTAAGTCCCGAAAATACCCGCAGTGATTTGGGTTTTTTTGGGGCCGGAAGCCTAAAAACCAGTAGCCGAATTTTCGGGATTCAGATTTTCGGGAGTCAGGTTTTTCGGGACTCAGATTTTCGGGACTCAGATTTTCGGGAGTCAGATTTTCGGGAGTCAGATTTTTCGGGACTCAGATTTTTCGGGACTCCGATTTTCGGGGGCTCCGAGTTTCGGGAAACCAATTTTCGGGAATCGGATTTTCGGAAGTATAAGCAAACCCCGATATTTCACTGCTTTCGCAAATTTTGGAGTTTCTTGCTTCCAAATCGCCAAAAAGTCACCGATCATGCGTGCTCCCTGCTCCGCAATGCCCTCTTCGCTTTGCTTTCCACGTGAATTCAATTGATTTTTTTTTTCAAAATTCTGGTTTTCCGTAAAAACTGTTCATTTTGGTAAGTGTTTCGTAATTTGCGAAACATTTATTGCTACAGTGGGTCGATTCCATTTCGCTACTAATGATAAACGCCAACCGCAGCGCTCCAAATTACGGATTTTCCCTGCGGGACCTGCAACCGATCGGATCGGATCGACCATCATTCTCTTCCAGTTTTTTTCCGCGCACTCGCGTACTTCTGTTCTTCGTTCCTCCATTCATTTTCTCCTTTTTTCTTTTCTTCTTTTCCTTTTCCTTTTTTCTTCCTTCCTTTCATTATCCTTTTCTAGATCTCTATGATCATCGGGTGTAGCCTCGTGCTGGACAAAGGCCCTCGGCCCGGCCTGGTGTGCGATGTACTGGTAGGCTTTCGTATTTCTGCTCAACGGTTTTACTAGGTGAAAATTCACGGCACACGCATGGTGATAGCGCGACCGACGTTTGACGACTACACTCACGATCTCAAGGTACATCTCATCGGTCTTTTTAATCATTTTATTTAGGACGAGCCCGTATACCTAGAGGGTCCCGTTGACTTCCTGGAGAAGCCCGGGACAAAAATGTTCTTCTTGCGTTTTCATCCAAACGTCTGGCTCGCCATCATCCACAATCCGCGGAGAATTCAAGGCATCGAGCGCCACATCAAGGATAACCTGCCCAATCTCGTTTCGAAGCCCATGGAACCAGGCCGCCAGGCAGAGTTCTTGGCGCTATACAGGGCGGAAAATTCGGAGGTGTGGTAGTTTCGCTACCGCATAATTTCATTTTAGAAAGGCGGTTTTATCGAACTATCTGATGATAGTGACCACGACGAACCTCCAACCAAGATCGCGAAAAAAGTGGACGAAATCCCAACGGTAACCCCCTCAATTATTACAAAATGTGTTTCTAGGTGCTGATAGAGTTGCCCAACAGCATGGGCAAACGCATTCACCGTGAGGCCGACGTGCTGACAAGATTGCTGCAGCCTAGTTGGCTGCCGACTTCAACCCTTGTCGCGCTGCTGGCTAATTGGATTGCTTCTCCCGGGTAATTTGGATGTTCCTTTGATTCTAGTTTTAGCAAACTCGGCTTTTACGACAACACCGTGACGCAGAAGCTTCTTCTCCTCGCCAAGGAGACTAATGCTACTGCTTTCCAGGATGCAAATTGTTTGGCCGCAATGGTGGGTGGTCTTTTAGCCTTTACCTAGTTTATGTTTAGAACGAAAGAAGTCGTGAAAGGATTCTGCAGCATGAAGTACTCAAGCAGATCTTCGCCGATGATGCTACGGAATACACCTCACTGCTGGTCTTCGACGAAACACAGCACCACTGGTTTGCTTTAAACATGGTCTTGGATTTATTTTCAGGTATATGGTGCTTCTCGCACGGTTCGGTGCGTTTGTCAAGGCCAACTGTCAAGCCCGTCAGGAAATGGTGCCACCTAGGATCTACGTCTTCGACTCCTTGCTGCACAATACGAAATTGGCGAGGGGGAGCTTGCCGACCAACGAGGTTCTGGGCGGAATTCACGTGAATATCAAAGTTGGTTTTGTTTTTGTTATAAGCAACTCAGTTTTTTGAGAACCTTTTACTGCCGTTACTGAGGGTCGGCTTGGCGCTGTTCGGAAACCCCTGCCTTCTCGTGCTTCCGAAACTCGGGTTTGGCTGCCGTCTTTGTAGTAATTTTGTTACAGATTCCGGGAAGTGCGCGAACTATGCGGCCAGGTCAACCTCCACGACTGCGGGGCATTCGTGCTCGCCTTCGCGGAAGCCATCGCGAACGGCCACCTCCTTGAGGACAAGGTACGATGAAAATCTTTCTGAGAGAACTGCGTTGATTTAGCACAACGACGTGTGTGTGTGGCAGTGGGCGTCGCCGGAGCTACCAGCAGTCTATGGCCTTGACTACGACGTCGAAACGAAGAATTCCAAAGACGTTGGTTATGGCTCTCTCTCTCAATTGCTTTTTACAGTCGCTGCACGCGTACCGGCGGAAGTGCTATGCTCGGCTGAAGGCCTGTGTATGACTTGACTGCTTTTCGCAACTTTAAATTTAGGTTATTGAAGGCAACGAGCACATTGAGAAGGCAGAAGGACGACTGAAGAAGGGCCTCTCCGCGTTTGAGTGCGAGGAAAATCAGGCAAAAGCCCCGAAGAAAGGTATGTTATATTCTGCTTGATGAAACTGTTTTTGTAGAGAGTTGCTGCTCGTCGTGAAGCAGGAGGGCTCTGCACGTACCAAGAAATACCTTCAACTCACCGGGTGCGCAAATTCCCAATGCTTGAAAGACGAGCCATGATACATCAATTCATTTACTAGCACTTTTGTTCGTCTGTTAACTATGGTTCATTTGTCGTTGTTATCGAATTTTGTCTATGTCTAGTAATGTAGTTTTAATAAATTTCTTGATTGGGTTGGAGGCAATTTATGGGTGCGATTTCTCGTTTATTCGGTTGTGGTGCGATTGTTACGGCCTATTCTCATTTTGTAAACTTGCCGGACAAGCCGCGGTTGACTGTTCGTGTTGATGGGCCGCACGCGTCTGGCAGAATTTACCAAAACCTTTATTAGCAATTTTTCAACTAGACCTCCCGAGCCAGCTAGATTCATTTCAGTTCCTCACCTCTTTCCTCCTCGGATCACGCGAAACTGCCTCTTCCCACGCTTTTGCCTTACCCTTCCCCCTCTGATCCAATCACGAGGGTTCGCGAACGTTTTTATTGGGCCACAGCTTGGCGCCCATTGATTCTTAGCCGATCACCTGGTTTCCTTGGTATCCTTTTCGGAGTTATGCATGCTGAAAAAGGGCGACTTTGTTTTTGAAAACTAGACCTTCTCGCGGTGTAGGTCTTATTTATGGGAAGAAGTCAAAGGGAAATGCGTAGCTAAACCTAGGCCTTTGAAAACGCTATAAGCCAGATCCTAAATATATCTAAACTTTAGCCGAAAGCAAATTGGCCCGATGAACTTGAATTTTACCTCCTTTTCTTATTAATTCTTTCTTGTGCAATTATATCTGACTAACTCTTCCTTTTCAGGCATGAGCAGGGCGGTCGGTAACTTTGGGAAGCAGATTGCCACCCAGGTATTCACTTTTTCCTTTTTATGTTATCGTTTTTTTTTAGTTACGCAACGCCGGCACGCCCGGCCCGAAGCGCCCTACGACTGTGTTCCTGACGCATGTGAAATGGGTGACCGGGAAAGGTAATATTTTTATCTGTACTTGTAAAAATCGCATATCCAAAGTATATATGCCAAAAACCTATGGAAGCAGCGTTTGGCTTCTTTTTGTTTTTGTTGTAAAGAATAATAGTTTTGTTTCAGATCAGCTCACCAAGTACTTCAGCAAATACGGGCAAATCGACAAGGTGACGATGTTCTTCGTACGTTTATATCTTCAAATAAATGACCATGTTTAGGATCCGGAAACGGGCTTGCATCGTGGCTTCGCGTCTATCACATTTTGGGAGCCTTCCAGCGCTGCTGCGGCCATCCAGCAGCGCCCACATTTTGTCGATGGAGATCGGGTAATTTTTGTTTAATAAATTAGAGATTTATTTTTCATGGTTTGCAAATATATAGCCAATTTCATTTTCTAGATCGATGTGGAACTCTTCGTCCCGTTGAAATCGAAAAAGAAGAGCCTGGAATTTGCTGTCTGATCGACACGTCGTCTTATATGCAATGATACTATCGGATAACATTGTTTTCCTGAAATACTCTTGTCACGCATGTTTTTTCTAGGGTTCCCATAATTTACTGGTCGTTATCAAGCGGTTTCAAACCGGTCCCGGTTCGAATTTCCGGGGGAATGAATGAAAAAGGAGATTCCGAACGCTTTTGTACACAAGCTTCAATCCTCGTTACGGGATTTTTATCTGAACTAGGAAACCATTGCATATTTTAGTCGAAAATGCCTAGGGTAAAATTGGTATTAGCTTTTTCAGCTTTACGACTATTGCTAGGATTTTTTTTGTCATCTAGGCAGATCGTTTCGCTTACTACTTGCGTCTTCAGACTAACTGGGTTCCGTTCTAGCCAATTCTAGGCAAAGCATTTTTAACGATGTATTGACATCGATACCCCTCCGTAACGTTTTATAAGAGTTGCTCAATTTCCCCACACTTTCGCAATTGTTGTCAATTTATTCGTGTCTGATACCCCCTGGCTGTACAAACCCTTTGTACTATGATGGTTTTTATATGTATTTGAGAAATCTCTATCAAAAGATTAGGGAATAAATTCATCCTACTTATCCTTGAGGGACTACATACAAATGAATCTCGCAGAGAAAGAGTTGCGACATGGTATGACGCAGGAAAAGCCGGAATTCGCTGGAGGGGTACAGGTTCGGTTTTCTGTGTCTTTTGAAGCACCGATTCGACGTCGTCGTCGTCGGTTTCTAATAGTCGCGGCAAAATTTTGGGGTTTTGCGTTTCAGTTTTCGCGCCCCCCCATAATGTGTCAACCATGATATCGGTTAGCGCTATACATCTTTTCAGTAAAATGTAACTCATTAAATTTATCCTCCAAATTAAAGTTCGGTGTTCGACTTTTTGAGACTCCTCGCCCAACATCGCGAATCCTTGGGGTGACACTTTGGACTCCGGCGATTGCTACGCGGCAGCACATGGCCACGTCGGCGGATTTTGCTAAAATCAGTACATTGGTTTTGTGACCACTTACATGCGGTTCGTTTCCTTTACATCCTTGATGACAGCCACTGAGTCGACAACCTAGAAGGAGGAGTTTTTGATTTTTTGACTCCCTACCGCGTCCTTTTTCTCAATGGAAATCTGCTCCAAGTACATTGTAGATCGGTCTTTGATCGTCATAATTGAGTAGCCGTAATCGTTGACTCTAGGTTTAACTGTTTCAACAAAAAATGCGATTAGATTCGGTTTTCGCTTTAGGTCTGACTCACTGTTTTGCGCTAAATGGCAGGGGCGGGTTAGTGAAGTCCGCGTATCCGGAATGACATCCCTAAAAGTGTAGGAAGTACTAGAATTGGTTTCTTGAGCTTACCGCTGATCCAGTTACAATATAAACCGGCGCATCTGGGTTGTTGTAGGGGTCCTTGTCGTTATAGTACACCTAAACATTGTTTAATCTTTCTCTAATTTCGTTTAGAGGCACTTACCTTGTTTGCGATTGGGTAGAATCGCTCGTAGGAGTGTTCGTGACCCCAGAATCCCATATCCATGCCATATTTGAGGAAAAGTGGCTCGAGCCCTGGCATATCCATGAAGCCTGTCCGCACCTATAAGTTCGGAGGCTTACAATAAACAGGCACCAAATTAAGGCTTACAATTTGATTTTCGAAAGCCGAACAATCTCCAGAGTTATCATTTGAGCAGTAGAACGGCCGATGTTGATAGGAAATTAACCACGGGGTCTTTGAACGGTCGACCATCTAGAGAATACTGTTAGTTTTTGTTCACCTTTTCGGTAACTTTTGATATCTTTCCCTCACCTCTAGGTCTTTCTGCAGCCAATCATATTGAGTGTAGATCGAATCCGTTCCGTATTTATAATAATACCCGTAGTTTTCGGTATTTATCCCCACGAAGTGTACCGGGCCCAAATCGAAACTAAGAATTATTTTTCGCCGAATTTTGGTGCAAAATCTCCGAAAGAACCTATTTTACCTATAGAAAGTCCCGTCGTCAGCCCCATTCTTTGGCATGTGGAAGCGCATTTTGTAATTTGTAAAATTCTCATTATCGTCTTCGTGATTTCCGGCGATCACCATGTAAGGCACTCAAAATGTTATGTTTAACGCCAGAAAGGACCAACTGGTCGCCATAAGTGGCTCCATTTTATTCATATAGCCATCACCGACGGTCCCATTGTCGGAGTGTAGATCATAAGCGATATCACCTAAATATTTTCAAAAACACGGTTTTACTTTTTGAAGTTAACTAACCAATATGAACCACCATGTCAAATTTGTTAGCGGCCGCCGCAGCGAGAAGGCTTTCGATACTTTGGCCTTCACCCTAAAGCTACAAAATTGCTCCCATTTTGCTTTTCTGTTTTGTTTTTGAAACCGCATCCACCTGGAAATTCACGCCAGTCAATCCAAGGTCCCCAAACAGACATATGCGCACGCCCAAACCATCCATTGGCAACGTTTTAAAGGCATACGTTTTGGAGGAGCCGCTGATTTGATAGACTAAATCGGCATATTAGCGTGACAAGCTGAATTTACAGTAATGAGTGTTTTCTTTGAGCCCTTTGAGTACCACATTGTGGGAAACGCGTGTAATGCCAGCGTAGGTCCACGACTTTGGGTTTGAGTTTTCTGACTTTGAAGTGAGCGATGTCGCCGACAAGCCATAGGAGACGTATGTTGGGGAACCTGAATTGTTTTCTCGCTTTCAACGTAAAAGCGCTTTTTACCTGTGCCCATTGTCACCCAGCCGACATTCATTTCCGATTGGTCACCGGTTAGTGCCAAGTGAATTTGTTCAGGACCCGCCGCAAAAACTATCGGAATTATCCATAACAGCATCCACCCCATCGTGGCAAGGTGTGAAAACTCCAACTCGAGAATTCGGCTAGCAATGGAGTTTCACATAATCGGTTTTTGAAGTGATTGCTGATAAGGGTCTTTGGTGATATCACAATCCGGCGGCACAAAATTGCCCGGATCAATGCCGGGTTGATTTTTGAGAGGTGCGCTTATAAAACGTGGCTATTTTTCAGTTTCCGGGATTCACTTTACCAGTTTTACGTTGTCGATATTCGGTTTTCCATTTCCATTCCATTTCTCCGCTCCTGTTTACCTTTTTCTATAACTTTCTTTTCAGGGTTTTGCCCAAGGATTGAAAGAAGCACAAGCCGCTGGACGCGCAACACCTGGATGCTAGCAGTTTGAAAACGTTCGGTACGTTTGTTACTTGTGTAAAGATACTTTGCGAGCGATACATTTTGCTGCTATTTTCGAAAAGCACTCAGCGCATGCCTCTTTCAAGTGGAATGCTTTGTACATGGTTTTTCGGGCAGTAGCAAATGTCGCACGGTTCGAGCGTTTTCTTGTAATGCATTAATTATACGTAATTAGGCGTTAAAATCTCTCCTTTCACATATAAAGTATGCTTTGAAATCGTAAAGTATTTACCCTGCTTTTGTTAAATTTCGTAATTCATCTTAACGTTTCTCATTACACAATTCTAACTTTAGAAATGGTACGGTTCGAACCGTTCGACACTTGGTAATGGCCTTTTTGCGAATAGTTCTTTATCATCCATCCCCCGTTTTTTCGATCCCGTAGGATTTCTGTGTTTTCATACAACTTTTGGTATTCCATTAGTAGCTAGTTATCATTCGTTCTTTGCCAATTTTAGTTGAACGCTTCAGGGCCGATGAAATCGGGCCCTTCAAACATATGAGAGGCATGATGCACAAGCCAGGCGTTACATCATCTCTTCTTCTGCTGTCTCAGCGTTTCCCCCATTCTCTCACCGTCTGCCTGCCCACATTACGCGACGCCCCATGCTCTCATGCCGGGCGATCCCAATGCTCCCGGGGCCAGTTCAGTTCCTCACCTCTTTCCTCCTCTGATCACGCGAAACTGCCTCTTCCCACGCTTTTGCCTTACCCTTCCCCCTCTCTTATCCAATCACGAGGGTTCGCAAACGTTTTTATTGGGCCACAGCTTGGCGCCCATTGATTCTTAGCCGATCACCTGGTTTTCTTGGTATCTCGGAGTTATTCATGCTGAAAAGGGCGACTTTGTTTTTGAAAACTAGACCTTCTCGCGGTGTAGGTCTTATTTATGGAAAGAAGTCAAAGGGAAATGCGTAGCTAAACCTAGGCCTTTGAAAACGCTATAAGCCAGATCCTAAATATATCTAAACTTTAGCCGAAAGCAAATTGGCCCGATGAACTTGAATTTTACCTACTTTTCTTATTAATTCTTTCTTGTGCAATTATATCTGACTAACTCTTCGTTTTCAGGCATGAGCAGGGCGGTCGGTAACTTTGGGAAGCAGATTGCCACCCAGGTATTCACTTTTTCCTTTTTATGTTATCGTTTTTTTTAGTTACGCAACGCCGGCACGCCCGGCCCGAAGCGCCCTACGACTGTGTTCTTGACGCATGTGAAATGGGTGACCGGGAAAGGTAATAGTTTTATCTGTACTTGTAAAAATCGCATATCCAGAAAGTATATATGCCGAAAACCTATTTGAGGCAGCGTTTGGCTTTCTTTTTCTTTTTGTTTGTGCTGTAGAGAATAACAGTTTTTTCAGATCAGCTCACCAAGTACTTCAGCAAATACGGGCAAATCGACAAGGTGACGATGTTCTTCGTACGTTTGTATTTTCAAATAAATGACCATGTTTAGGATCCGGAAACGGGCTTGCATCGTGGCTTCGCGTCTATCACATTTTGGGAGCCTTCCAGCGCTGCTGCGGCCATCCAGCAGCGCCCACATTTTGTCGATGGAGATCGGGTAATTTTTTTGTTTAACTAAAATAGATATTTATTTTTCATGGTTTGCAAATATATAGCCAATTTCATTTTCTAGGTCGATGTGGAACTCTTCGTCCCGTTGAAATCGAAAAAGAAGAGCCTGGAATTTGCTGTCTGATCGACAAGTCATCTTATATGCAATGATACTATCGGGTAACATTGTTTTCCTGAAATACTCTTGTCACGCATGTTTTTTTCTAGGGTTCCCATAATTTACTGGTCGTTATCAATCGGTTTCAAACCGGTCCCGGTTCGAATTTCCGGGGGAATGAATGAAAAAGGGGATCCCGAACGCTTTTGTACACAAGCTTCAATCCTCGTTACGGGATTTTTATCTCAACTAGGAAACCATTGCATATTTTAGTCGAAAATGCCTAGGGTAAAATTGGCTCGAGCTTTTTCGGCTTTAAGATTATTCGTAGGGATTTATTTGTCATCTAGGCAGATCGCTTCGCTTACTACTTGCGTCTTCAGACTAACTGGGTTCCGTTCTAGCCAATTCTAGGCAAAGCATTTTTCAAGATATCGATGTATTGACATCGATACCCCTCCGTAACTTTTTATAAGATTTGCTCAATTTCCCCACACTTTCGCGATTGTTGTCAATTTATTCGTGTCTGATACCCCCTGGCTGTACAAACCCTTTGTACTATGATTGTTTTTATATGTATTTGAGAAATCTCTATGAAAAGATTAGGGAATAAATTCATCCTACTTATTCTTGAGTGACGTGCATACAGGTGAATATGGGAGAAAGATACACGATGTCATGGACCGCGCGTACCAGTCGGAATTCGTTAGAGTGAGTGCAGGTTCGTTGTTTCGTGAAGTTATCGCAGAACAAGTTAGACGTCGTGGCTGGCTGCTAATCGGCATTGTAAGAGTTTTTGGTTTTCGCGGAGAACTATATTAATAAGGTTTAATGTGGTTTCTATTAGTTTTGCTGATAAGCTTCGCAAAACATTTTGGAAAAGTTCAGTTTTAGGTTTTCCAACCAGTTTCATGCAATTTTTTTACCAAAAATTGGCATTTTCCAGGATTTTAACTTTTGTTTGTGAGCTTTCTCTACCTAAAAGCGCTGTAAGAGGCTACATAAACGTTGTGTATCTCATTATTGGGACCCGACGGGTTGGTGTATAGTAAATTGAGGTTTCTACTCCGCCAAAATTCATCCCTCCACTAACAGTTCATTACCGAATATGGACTGTCGCACGTCATCAGCGTTCACAACCGCAATCGAACTTTTTTTGGATGTAATTCGACTCGTATACCCCGAGGCTACCTCCCGGGTTTTTCATCCGTACCGTGAAAAGTCAGACAAGAAGGGTCCGGAAAGTGGAAACGGCCACTTGAACCATTGTCGAGGGTTAACAGGGGCATCGCGTATGGAGACGGTCTCTCGCCCACCGTATGCACAAAAACAATTGTCCGCTTTCGAGGCCTTAGAAAAGGAGAGATGAATCGCTGCTCGTATAAAACCCCAGTTATGGTCAAATGATGAGCGTCATAACGGACAGCCCAATGGATGGCATTCCGTTATGTTTGGTTGGCAGGAGCTTCCTCTCAATAATATTGACCATCCTCCAGAAAACTAGATGCTCAAGGCTGGGTGTCCAGCTACATATTGGGCGACTAACCCTTGTGTTTGCTATTGGTTACAGCTTCCATATGGTTATGCCCTCAGTTTCTAGGTTTTTTTAATCTAGCTCAGTTTTTTGGAGCTTGAGGGTTACTGTCATGCTCAAATCGTCCATTATCCTCCTCACGGCCGTTCAGAGCGTGCACGAGCTTTAAAAGCTATAGAAAACGCTTCCAACACTTCATTATATAAAAGTTTTTTTACGAAATTGTGGGGAATTTTTTGCTTTATCGAACTAGAGCGGCGATTTTCGAAATATGACCCAGGGGAAAAGTTATCAGCAAAAAAGGAGAAAATCCTTAACATTTTCTATGGCTGGTTTTTTAACGCTATAGAAAACTCTGTCAGCCGCTATTCCTTAAAGTTTTTTATACTAAAATGTGCAGAATTTTTTTCTCTATCGAACTAGAGCGGCGATTTTCAAAATACGGTCAGGGGGGAAAGTTATGAGCTAAAGAAGAGCGGCGCTCTTAACATTTTTGGGGAGTGGGGGAAGCCCCTCTCATGCGCGCCTTCCCATACATCTGAACGGCCGTGTCCTGCTAATCCCGTCAGTCGTCGATCCCAATTTATTAATGTTATTTATTGATTAAAGCTTCCATATCGTATTTGTACGCTCTCGAGCTCGATCTTTTTAATTTTTGAATCTTGAAGAAGCTTTAGGGGTTACTGTCATGCTCAAATCATCCCTTATCCTCCTGCTCATCCCGTCTATCATCGATGCCAATTTTTGCTTTCAAAAGTTCAGTAATCACGTCCTACTTGCGTCGGCTCAAGGAAAACCAAAAAAGGTGAGATTTAATGCAAAAATTGCCATGCTTCCTGTCCTCCTTCCTGCCCTATTTTGAGCATCAACTTCAGGTGGACCTCAGCCGATGTATGAAAATGTGTCTCGACGAAAGAGGAAGTTGCCGGCGAGTTTTTGACAGAATTTTGAAAACTTTGCAGGTCCTTCATCTATTTCGATTCGATCGGGGTCTGTATTTTAAATTCGGCAGACAAGGAGATGAAGCCGGATCGCTTTGTACAATCCAAAGAAGGCGTTGATTATTATCAAAGGACTTGTTATCGTAAGTTCTGCTACCGGAGGTAAAATCCTTCAGATTCCCCACCAACAATAATGCGTGATTGGGATCGTGACGATCCGCTACCGGAGCAATGCTTCGAGATGGCGCAGGGAAAAGTTGGGGGAAATTGGTTACAACTGATTTGTATAAAATTAGGTCCTTATTGGAATCGTTGATCAACTACTGGACAAGATATCTTCCCTGGAGATGTGTCAGAAGTCGTGTCTAGATGCGAAAAAGAATAGCGGGGTTGTGTGTAAAAGTGCGATGTGGTATCCGAAGGAGAAGGTATGGTTTTTGGTATTTTAAAGCGAATTTCGTATGCTTAGGAATGCATCATCGCCTCTCAAGACAAGCATGACATTGCCGAGCTGTACATCGAGGATCCGAACTCGGTGTATTTAGAGAATAAGTGTGCCGAGGGAGCGAAGGCGACGGAAAACAGTATTATTGCATCGACGTCAACAACGTGGGGCATTCTAAAAAATTCGAGAACTTTTCTACCTTAATTTTAGCGCTTCTCCAATCACTCTGAACACATTGGTTAGCCAGCCGGCGGCAACCGGAGCAGAAGATGATGATGACGATATTACTGATGAGCCTGTAGAGCTCGTTATAATGATTTTAGTATTTTATTTCTTTAGTTTCACGTTGAGGGTGAACATCCGATGAATTCGTTGAATTCGGTAGCCGCACCTCCAGCCCAGCAACCCGACCCTCCGATTGAAGAATCTGGCTATGGAAATTCTCGGCAAGCCGTGAATTCTGTTACACAGGTTAGAGCTGAATTTTATAACTTTTGTATCGTTTAATTCGACGTTTGTTTATTTATAGGTTTTTACTTAAATCTAACTAAAATTGATTAAAGACATGCGAAACCACTTGATATTTCGTGGCTGCTTTCCTATAATTTAACATTTTAATTTAATTTGCGCTTTATAGACCGAGTCCCCATTGACCCCCGCGGCCACGATCGACCCTAAGGTTATCGATTCCTATCAGGTATTTGAGAAATATTATTCAGAAAAATTGGTGACTATTTTTAGATGCCGGAGAAAAAAGACGAAGCTCCAGTGGAAGCAAAGACACCCGCCATCAGCGATTATTACGGGAAACCATCAATGGGGGTTGAAGCAACACCCAATAAATACCAAACGGTTGGTGGCAATCTATTTACTGATCAGTTTCTGATTTTCAGGTTCCTCCCTCGCTAGCGGTCGTCAACCCGGATCCTTATCAAGAAGTAGAATAAGTTTATTGTAAAACTTGGATTTTTTCCAGCCGAAAAGCAGCGCTGTCGAAGCGACGCCCACTTCCGGATACAGACGACGTCTTAGGGATGATAGAATGAGCAAATGCTTCAGGTTTTTGCCTTGATTATATTATTCTTATTACTGTCGTATTTAGCGAAGTAAACCCGACTTATCCTTTGATGGCAGAGCGAGTGATGAAGGTGGGCGAATAAGAATAATACGACCATAGCGGTTTTGTGGAATAATTTTTAGGCGTATTCCATCGAACAATGTGCGGATATATGTCGTTTATGTCGTTTCTGCCTGCGAGGGCAACGGTGCGCCGGAATGGCGTTTGATCTGTAGGTTAAATTTTAAGGATTTTGGGGTTGAGAAATAGGCGGTTTAAGGGTATTTGAGGGCGTAGATTACAGCACTTTGATCAGCTTTTTACGAAAATAACGTTTTATAGGTTTTAGACGTTTAAAACATCAAAGTTTTACAAAATTAACAAAATGGGTCGAATTTAAACTTTAACTGAAAAGTTTTGGTTGAATTAACTAGAAAATCAACATTACAGCATCAGGGAAAACTGTGCCCTCTCATCGCGGGCATTGGACAATGGCGGCCGACCGGACAGCACCTCATCGATGGTCTACTTCGCAAGAAGTGCTCTTTGTTAGAGCTCAATGCAAAAAGACGCATGTCTTTTATTTGTCTGTATCGATAAATGTGTTAATTTTTGAAGATATTTCCGTCATTTGCATGTAATGTAGTCCATATTTTCTGCCGGATATTTATTGTAGGAATTGTTGTGGGTGAATTGCTGGGAGAAATGTTAAGTTTTGGAAATTTGGAATTTGTTTTCTGGTGGATGGGGGCGAAAGATCGGTGGTTTGATGCGGAGCACAAAATGACAAAAGTAAAATACACAAAAAATCGGACGCAAAAATGTGTCTAGGCCCTGTGGGCGGTCGACTGAAAGACGAAGCTGTGTTTTGCCGCGGGCTCTGGGTTCTGGTTGTAGTTTCGAGTTTAGAGTCAAATTTTCGATTCTACGAATGTTCTCTAAATTACAACCAAAACCCAATAACCGTTGGCAAAGACTGGGGGGCACTGGGTTGCGAAACCTGGCGCCCTGAAAGGAGCAACATCACACACAGAGTCGACGCCGAGCCGTGCGGTATTGCTACCGCGGCCCGGACGAGCTGGCGGCGGTTGACGCGGTGGGGATCGCTCGACTAAACTTTGTAACGGTACCAACACCTAGATACCACAACCAAATCTACCGTACCCGGCCCCGCCTGCAAATCCTCGAGCCGTGCACCCCTCCTGACAGTACACGCTTAAACGCCGGCCCTAGCGAGAACCTAATCGTCAGAAAAAGGGGGTTAAAACAGTTAAAAATAACTTGATTAAAACCCCCAACTTAATAAAATGAAACCTTATAAAAAGCGGCCGACAGCGCGCCTGTCGATTGGCTAACCCGTGTGCGCGGTGGGCGCACGGCTGCGAGGATTGGGCTACGGTAACCGGGGGATACGGTAGGGGATGGTTGGGTAATTTGGTGATGGTAGTGAAATAGTTCAGACGAGGTCACCCCGAAGTGTGGTCAATCGAGGGTTGGGTTTTTTTTTGGTTTTTCATTGAGTTAGAAAACCCAACCATCGAGAGTTCGGGACACTTTGGGTCCCAATGAAAGACATGTAGAGACAAGAATTGCGGGTTTTTTTGGGAGGGCTTTTGGCTTGGAGATTGGATTATGTCATTAAAGTCGACCAAGCCTAAGCCTAAGCTCAAGCCTAAGCCTAAGCCCAAGCCAAAACTTCCCAAAAATCAACCACCAAAAATTTTACATAAAAACGAGACCTCAACGGGGTCCATTCATCAATAGAAATCGAGGCTTGGGAGAATTCGAAGCTCGGCCAGCTTCCGCTCATCGAGGCTTCAGCTTTAGAATCTTGCGAACGATCACCACGCCCAGACCGGGGGCAACATGAAAGACGCATGGGGATGGAAAGCACGGCGGGGTTGCTGCTCAAAATCCGCTCCACCAAAACACTTCCGGTTTTCTAATTGATTTTTTGGATTTTGAACAGAAAAAAAACAAAACTTTAGCGATTATCGAATAATCACACAAGTCGGGAAAAGCCGAATTTTCGGACGGAATTTAAAGTTCTTACAAAATTTCCATCCAAAAACTCGACCACAACAAAATAATTAGGCTAGGCTTACGAGGATTCAATTTTAAAAGGATTGGCAAGTCAGAGCTGTGGATTCAAAGCAAGCTCTAACGTCCCAACCCCTTTAAACGGTCGGGATATTGGTGGTTTGAGAGCATTTTTGTTTTGTGGCGACCCTTATTCAGGACCAATTGTATTGTTGTTGAGAGCAGAATGGGGAGGAGGGAAGGATCCAGATAAGTTACTATGCGACGCACCTAAGCCCAAAGAACATAAGAACGAAAAAATTCAAATAGAAAACACATAAAAATGAAAATGAAGGGGTAATTTACAGGGGGAAAACGGCTGACGGCCCGTGGCCATGGGTGGCGTCTGTGGAAAGCGCGTGTAGTGGATTGGTGCGGAATTTGAAAGACGGTTGGGGGTAGTGGCCTAGGTCCTGGATGGAAGATGGAGCTTTGACGGGTAGTGTGGTCGAACAGCCGATTCGAGGTTTTGGTTCCTGAAAAGAGTATGGTATTATTATGTAATGTAGAGCTGTGAAACAACCCTGACAAAATTCTAAAATTTGTCTGATGAAATTACGGTACTGCTAAATTTGGACAATCAAATCAAATTTATGGAATTCAGATTGACTAAGATTTGATAAGATCAAATTATTTAATTTATCGGTCCAGATATTTCGTAAAACGCAAGATGCTATAGAAGTTTTTCTTTTTCACGACCAAAATTACGTTTTTCCCCCGCCGCTGTGTCTTTTTGTTGTTATTGCATGAGCCCTCGGAATTGGCGCTCCGTGCGCACCCAAAAAAACAAGCGCCTTTTTCGGGACGGGACCCCGGTCCAACCCATCAACATCCTTGTCCCGTTGGACCAAAAACAACAACAAAAAGAACTGGGGGCAACCCCCAAAAATACCGGGAGTGAAGGGGGCAGTGCTGCCTGGGATTATCCTTATAGGCAGGAGGGGTATTCCGGGCAAAGCAAAATTGATATCCCCTGGCCGGGTAAGCCACTACTGGGTTACGGTATCGGGGGGTTAAGCTTGGGATTTGTAATTCTGATATAGATTTGGATTAGAGGGTTGAGTAATCTTTACAAGGTGAGTCTGGGTGTCTAGGTGTCTAGAAATCGGCTAGAAATCCTCTCGAAATCCTCTCGAAATAATCCAAAAATCTTTCTAAGGCTGTCTAGGTGTCTAGGTGTCTAGAAGCTTCAATTTCTCGCTACAAGGTCCATTTAAAAGCGTGCAAAAACCTAATTTCGTATTTTTACAAAAATTAACATTAGAAAAAACTTACAATTTCGGCCATAAAACAAGCAGTTGACTGCGGTATGGTAGAATTGGCAGTCTGCCAAAATGTTTTGGCGGCTTGAGCAATGGCAGCGGGCTGAAAAAAAATGTATTTAAGAAGTTTAGATACTAATTTTTATCTGATTTAAATTTAACGATAAAGTGTAAAATAACGTATATAAATCTCCATACCTTTATCTCGCGATACCGCGCCCCGCTGGTCCCAGCATATGGTGGAGTGCTGTTGGTAGCTGCGGAACCCGAATTTTCACCGAAGTTATGAGGATTACATCCTGTAAAAATAGACTATAACATTTTAAAAAATGCAAAGATAAAATACAGAAAATATACAGCGTTAAAAATCCGGAACAAAATGGTTCAAAATTGTACAAGAAGCCCTAGAGGTAATCTCACCAGGCGCACAAATCCGACGTCTACTGTATCTGACCGCGCGGGTCCCGCGGGGAATCCCTATATTTTGTGAGGGGTTCTTTAGAAAAAGGAAGTCGCCGCCCCCCAGGAGATGCTCTAACTAAGAACTACAAGTGAGGGCCCTTGAGAAAAACAAGGAAGGACAAGGTGGGGGCGGGGCTAGGGGCAGATTAATCACGGAATCAACGCCTGGTTCTCGGGGGTTGAATCATCTTGCTAGGGTGGGTTCTTATATTGCGACATGATGCGTCATCAGAATTTTTGAAAATTGTAGAAGTTGAGGGGGTTATGTGTTTATTATTTGGTGAGTCATAGAGTTGTTATAAATCAAACAACAAACAACAAATTATTCAAACAACTCAAACATGTTTGCTTTGTTTTAGCTCGAAAAGTTTCAAACAAAACAATCTTGTTTGATTTGAGTTCCAGGGGGATCAAATCAAACAAGGTTGTTTGACTTGTTTGAACTTGTTTGAGCACCCTGAACTGTGAGATTTTTGGGGATTTTTCGATGGACCGGAAGTGGATTCAAACTTTCAAAAACAAATTTCACGGGAAAAAATGTATGCTAATTGCAAAAATACTAAAAAAAACACGCTTTAAATCCAAAATTAGCATACATTTCAAACAAGGTCAAACAAAACAAACTGCCCAAATAGTTCAAACAATCTTGTTTAGTTTGAGCGATCAACGGTCATCTCAAACAAAACATGTTTGATTTGAATCTCCAAAATCCCAATCAAACAACATTGTTCAAACAAGCTTGTTTGAGGCCTTGTTTTGTTTGAGTTATAACAACTCTAGTGAGTCATTGGCGATGGAGAAAGAGAAAGAGAAAGAGAAAGAGCGAGATAGAGAGAGAGATAAAGCTAGAGAGAGGGATAAGGAGAGATATAGAGACTGAGAGAGAGTTAGGCAGAGAGAAAGATAGAAAGAAACAGGGAGAGAAAGTGAGATAGAGCGCGCGAGAGAGAGAGAGTGAGAGTGAGATAACGCTAGATCAAAACGTTTAGAAAACGACGAATATCCTTAGACCTTTATACCAAAATCAAATTCATCATTTCCTAACAAACTCCACAAATCAAAACCCAAAAACCAAAAGCAGCTGGAAAATTCAAATGACGTGCCCCAAGGCCATTTGGGTGGGAAGTGAGGTGAGGTGTGTGGTGAGGAGAAGACGATTCTCCCCGCTGGTGAGCTGCCCCTCCCCAAAAGGGGCGTGGCCACTCAGCTGACCGCTCCAGAAGACGTCATGCCCGCCCTCGTGTCCCCTCTTCCCCCCTCTTCTGCGTGGCGAAATATTTGGCATTACGCGCCGCGCCCTTTTCTGAGGATAGTCCGGGCGTACCTTAGCGGAAATGAGATCACATTTGACGTTCTCAAATTGAACCCAAGGGGAAATGATGATGGGATTTTTTCTTGAGAGAAAAATGTACTTAGAAAACTTTCAAAATGAACGCTGACGCTATGCTTTTAAAACACTTATTAAAGCATTAATACCCATACGCCTATTTACGTACAGAAACGGAGGTAGTGAGAGAGAGGCCGTGTTCATAGGTGCATACGCGCGTAGTAGAGCAACTCCAGAACCCCTCCGCAAACACACGCTTAAATACCAAAACTTCGACCCATTATCGTCTCACCAAATCACGGCCACTCCCTATCCCTAAATTTTTCAAATTTGCTACTCACCCAAACCCCCAAGATAACATCTACCCAACAGCCAACACCCAGTTTTCAAACTTTAGTCAACCTCACCCCACCCCAAAGAGTCCTGTGGATTCCGGAACGCTCCACCCTCCAGGGCCCCCCAAACGATTTATGGCCCGAGGCAAAACGAGGAACCTATAATTTAGGGGCCCTCGGGAGTGCGGGCGGAAAAAGAGCAAATGCCGGCTGGGGGAAGAGGGCAAATTGTTCAACGGTCTATAGGAATAAGGAAGGGCAGGTAAAGATACTAAAATATAAAATAAAGGTCCGACGAGCTTCAAGCACACTTTGGAACGAAAAGCTAGAAGCCGAGTCTGCGCCCTAGTGAAAATCTATAAAGGGCACTCGGGTGAAAGGGAGGGAGAAAGGAGGAGGAGGGGCAGTCTAGGGGAGCGGGATCTCGGAAGGTCTGACCGAGTGGTCCCGACGGGAAGAGAGAACCCCCGCTTGGTCCTCTTAAAATAAGGGGCGGGGCCCACCCCCAAAAAGACCCCCGGGTTGGCGGTGCCTAAAGTCCAACAGGGGCCACCACGGTCATTCCGGCCACACACCTCTAGCAATCTAGGTCTTTCCCCTTGTCCAGGAGGCTTTTGCTCTCGGTCTCTCTCTCCCTCTCTCTCTCTCTCTCTCTCTCTCTCTCTCTCTCTCTCTCTCTCTCTCGCTAACTGTTCACCTAAAGGGCACGGAAAAGAGAAAGGGCATTCCGGGAATATGCACTCTACCAGGAACCAAATTGACCACAGCGACCGGAAACGAAGGAAAATGAAAATTAAAATGCACTGATCGGTCCAGGAAAGAAAAATCATTAAAAACGCTGGATATATCAAGATTATTACAGCAACAGACCCAAAATTCAGCATGTCACGCACCTTTAAACCAACTGAAGGGTGGAAAAATGAGATTATTATAAACCTCAAACTATAAAATACATTTTAAACGTTTCTAAAAATAATTGGCGGCATACGCCGATCTTTGAGAGCTCATCACGACCTATCCCCCAAGTCGGGTCGATCCAAAATGGCGAAACTTCTCCCCGCCGACCCTCCCCTCAAAACAGCTGATGCCCGAAAACTCCCAACAACGCATGGATACTATGTGCACCTTTTTTTTCAGGCGGGTGTGGCCGAGTTGGGACCCCCCTCCCCTGTTTGGCAAATAAACAGCACGAGGTTTTGAGGGTAAATTTAGGATCGAAGGAGCGGGGTTGAAATCTGGAGCATGAGGCCTGATTAAAGTGGATATTACAGTATCATTACGTATACACCAATTTGCAAGGAAAGACTGGGTCAGAGAGAAACACAGATGTGCGTAAATAAACAGGGTGCCCGAAAAGGGACCCATCTGGCATTTGACCCCCCCTTACATCCGATCGGTCCCAAGATTGGACCAGAGTTGTATCGGATTCAAAATAACAACAAACCTGACTACGGTCTACGACTCTTCTACGATTTTTACAAAGCAAAAATTGCCCAAAATCCTAAGCAAAATTGGGGGACTCACAGCCGAAAGTCGATGCAAATAGAGGTAAGGTTTAAAAAGCAGCCGAAAAACTGATAGATAGGTATTTTTTGGGCCTAACATAGAAACAAGAGATTATCATTAATATATGATGCCATATGACCCGACGTTTTGCAAAAGGAAACCGGTCGATATTTGGGAGTGGAGGTGGCAAAGGTTCGGGCGTCGGGGGGCAGATCCGGATTTGCGAGGGGGGAGGAGCCGTTGTGGCTCCCGCTTGCCAAAACCGGTCCACAGCCCCTGGAGGGCATCTATAGATGCGTATGAGAAAGCCACAGACATATACACCGCATCATTACACGTATACGGAATGGGAAGGGAGCATGATAAATGGTTTTATATAAGAGTCCGCTACGCAACGATACTAATAGCGGAACGTTTCATGGTGTCGTCGGGGTGTTTTGAGGTTCGGACCAAGCGTATCTGAGCAGAATTTTACGCTGATTCCGAATATAGTTACCATAATCGTTATATCGCGATTTTTGAAAAATTATAAACTATGTAAATAAAAAAAAATCATAAAAACGGCCCTTTTTGAGTGTTCCTCGGTCTTAGCTAGTTCATAACTTTTCAAAAACAGCGATTTTGCAATTCTGGTTTACATAATCAGAATCAGCATAAAATTCTGCACTAGATAGGCTAAAGCAATAGAAGGAAAATAAACGAGAAAAGCTATTAAAAAACTTTAAAGCGACCGGGCATACCACCCGAAAATCGGCAATCAGCTGTACATCGGAAAATTGTGGAAGCCGAAGGAAGAGGAGGGGGAGGAGGGTTGTTTGCATTTCAGGAGAGGGAATGGGAGGGGAGGAGGGGGAAAGAAGAGTCACGCGGTCCCGTACCGAGTCGAGACCGGTCTTCCCTCGGCTCTTTTGGCTCTTTGCCAATCATCAAATACATCCCAGCAGCCCTTGGCCGTCGAATGCACGTGCACACACAACAACGCATGGTTAGCTACCGATTTTTGATGTTGGAAGTGGGGGAGAGAGAGCGAGAGACTGAGAGAGAGAGAGCAAGAGAGACAGAGAGAGAGAGGGATAGAGAGAGAGAGCGAGAAAAAGAGCGAGAGAGACAGGGATAAATTCCAAAGATTCGCACTCTTGGGATCGAACCCGATTCGGTTTCCTGGTAATTTAGAGCTATACCAATACACTACAGTAGTACTCCTTCAAAATCCTGAGACCGATCTTAATCCTACAGTACACCCAGAACCCTTTTCAATTTTTTCCACCCCGCCACCCCAAATGGACCACCCAGCTTAACGACCCTTCCCCTCCAGTACCACCTCAAAAAATCGGCAAAAATCTCTGCCCTCGTACAGTAGTTCTTACAAACTAATCCCCGAGACCTGGAAAATGCTGAGCCGTACCAATTAAGCCCTGCGGAAATTCCGTATTTCGGTGTTGGAGAGAGAGAGAGAGAGAGAGAGAGAGAGAGAGAAAGAGAGAAAGAGCAATAGTACAGCTACGGAAATTACCGGAATTCCTGAGCAGAAGGCCGTCACAAAACTAAATAGGAAGTGCTCGAAGTTATCGTATTTTAAAGGGATGGTGACAGACGACTTGGTTCATTTCTTTAGAACAGACAATCTACTACTGCTTGAAAACCGGACGTAAATAGCAATCGGAACATTTGATGGGGGGAGGGACCTCTGGGTGGTGGATGAGACCCGGGTATTGTGTGTAAACCGCTGACTGGAACTCGATGGAGGAGGAAAAGCAAGAGGAGGGGGAGGATGAGGAGGCGGAGCAGGGAAAAGCTGAGTGGGAGGAGTGGGACTTGCTTTTTCCCTCTCAAAAACGGCAACAATAACATCACAAATCGCCCCCGGGGTTGTGAATCAGCATCGTAAAGATTTGGGGGAAATTTTAGGAAGCTTTTTTGGATTGGAAAGGTTGCAGAGAGAGAGAGAGAGAGGGGAGAGAGAGAGAAAAAAAAAGAGAGATAGAGAAAGAGTGAAAAGAAATTCTTAAAGCTTGAATTCCTTATTCCTTGCACATCGCCATTCTAGAGCTGTGTGGAATTACCAATTCAATGCGCTAGAACTACGGTAACACGAATCTACAAAAAAATTAAGTTATAAAAAACTGCAGATTCCATTCCCATAAAGAATCGGAATTATGGATCCGTAGGGAATTACAATTCACGAAAAAACTAGACCTACAGTAACCCGCTACTAGTAATCCAACCAGCCCGTCGTACCTCCCCTCCCATTCCCCCAAAACCATAATCCGCTCGGCAACGTCCCAACATACGCGCCAGCCCGTCGGATCGACACGCGGACCGCTGAGTGGCCCCCGGGTGACGCAACGCGGTGCTCCGCTTTACGCTCCGTGCAAACCAGCGCTCCTCTCGGAATCGCAGGCGCCGCCCCTAGAGACTAGACCAAGAGCAGAGAACCCACAGAAAAATGCGAGACACCGGAAAGACCGAGAGACGCCAGACGGTCAGCCGGGCGCCAGACAGCTGGCAGCTGGCCAGCGCGATCAATGCTCTCCGTGGTCTGGCCAGTCTGTCTGCTCTCTGTCTTTCTGTCGGTCTCTCTCTCTCTCTCTCTCTCTCTCTTTCCTACTCCCGGGTTTCGGGCGGACTCTCCCCCCTTCAGCGATTCCGCCCTCCACTATACGAATATTGACGCGTGTGCTGGAAAGCGTGTGCAGACCCGGATACGCTAAAAGCCCTCGCTCCGTGCCCCCGGGGGGTGGAAAAGGGGTTTGCAAGTCCGGGGAAATGGTTGGGGCATTTTTAAAGCATTGGAAAAACTTTGTAAAATTTCCAGATATGAACAGATAGCATCACGAAAGTTACCCTAAAATAAGTTGCATAAGAAACCTAGTTAGCATATAAGAATAACTCATTTATCTTTGCCTGCTCGGGGTTTATTTTTTCGAACTGGTGCCGATTTCCTTTTACTGACCGCATCAATAGGTGTCCTCGAAATTTATATGAAATTATTAGCATGATTAAATTTTCAAATAACGCCCAAATATTCAGGGGTTTATTTTGCAGTTAGTTTGATTTTAAACCTCCTTAAAAATAAGCCGAGCTTCTAGAGCCCCGAGTAAAAACCTAATCCCTCGAAGAGGCATTTTTGCCCCCTCACCTGAACGCAGGTGCAAAACACGGGGGCCCTCGCGGAAATCCCCTCGCAGCTGAAAAATGGCAAAAAAGCGGCGGCAAATGGCAGTCTAGAGGATTAGCGTGAAAAAAGTGCGGTGGGATTGTTGGAATTAAAGGGGCTGTGCAGATCAAAATTTCCGCTCAAGGGAAGGTCCTGAAAATAAGAGCGGGTATGTGGACCGTTAATGAGATTTTGCCATCGGAAATGAGCATGAAAGATAAGACATGGAGGTTAAAAGGGAATGAGAAGGGGCACAGAAAATTGTCTGCGGCTTCACAAGATCATTTTTTTTAATAAATCCGGTGTTTGAAATAAAAGGATGCTTGGAATTTTTTAATAAATCATAAATAATAAACGGCCCTTTTTACATAACTCGAAGTTTGTAAACATAGTAAAATAAAGACAAGTGCTCGGAGACAGAGAACTATACTCCGCAAAAAAAAGAAAAAAAATCTACGGAATTGAGATTAGACTCCCATGAACAGAAAAAAACTTTAAAAAATAGTCTTTGCATAATTGGCATTTAAATATATCCACGGTCAAGCAGTATAGATACAAAATCCCAGAAAACGAAACCCCCAGCAGCGAAAGTTGACCGATTCCGACTGAATTTGGGTCAGAGAGTTTGATCGAAATTCGGGAAATTGTCCCGGTGGGGGTGGACGATGACTCGGGAATCGAGGTGAAGGCCGTCCCACCCTGAGGAGGAGGAGCACGAGGGGGGCTTGTCCGGACACGACCTGGCTCGATAGATAAATCTATCCGGACAAGTCACAAAACCACCACCATCGGCTGCTAACAACAATCTGTGACCCGGCAATTCTGTTACGTGTCGATGATTCTTAAAGGAACATGGTGGTTACAGGAGGGAAGCAGTGACCGTATTGAAATTGAGGGTAAAGGATGCAATGTGCGTATCGTATTGAGATTTGAGCTTGAGCTTCAAGTATAGGCGTATGGAAATCAATCCGATGTCGGGTGATAATTTGGATAAAAATCGAAAAGCCCAAAAAAATTATATGATTCACGCTTTGCCAGGTTCGTACCTAAGCCCAATTCTAAGCCTAAGCCCACGCCTAAGCCCAAGCCTTACCTAAACCCAAGCCTAAGCCCAATCCTAAACCTAGGCTCAATCCTGAGCTGAGGCCCAAGCCCAGGCCTCAGCCCAAGCCTAAGCTCAATCCTAAGCCTAAGCTCACGCATAAGCCCAGGCCTCAGCCCAAGCCTAAGCTTAAACCTTAGCTCAAGCCTAAGCCTAAAACTAAGCCTACGCCTACGCCTGTGCCTAAGCCTAAGCATAAGCCCAAGAATTTTCTGCGTGGTTTAAGGTATTAATACTCAATAATTAAATAACAGAATTCAACAACGTCAAAGCCTCCAAAATATCGTAAAGTTCAATTTCAGAAACACTAAAAAACCGGTGCTAAATGCTGGATATGAGCGGGTGTGGGAAATGTGAGGGGGAGCGGATGTTGTTGGTGTGCGGGGGTGTCGGCAGGAACGGCCTTTGGTCCCATTCGGTACCATCCCCCCATCTCTCTCTACGCTCTCGATTTCATCCACTCTCTCGCCCACCCGGCACCACACCACCACTTGCCCACCATTCCGGCCACCTCTAAACTCTCGATGGGAATTGGGCTTTTGGTTTTGAAGCGAGACGGAGAGAGAGCGAGAGAGAGAGAGCGAGAGAGAGAGATAGAGAGAGAGTGAGAGAGACAGAGCGAGAGAGAGATACAAAGAGAGAGAGTGAGGGAGAGAGAAAGAGAGAGAGAGAGAGAGAGAGAGAGAGAGAGAGAGAGAGAGAGAGAGAGGGGGAGAGAGAGAGAGAAGTTGAAGAGGCTGGAATGTGGAATAGAAAGGTGGAAATCCTAAAACTTTTCCGTACCGCTACGCTACTTTACGTTACTGTATGCGCTATGCTACGTTACCGTATGCGTTACGACACGTTACCGCATGCGCTCCGCTACGTTGCGCCACGCCACTTTACACTACGCTACGCTACGCAACGCTACGGTATGTTGCACTACGATACGCTGCGGTATGTCGAATAATCAATACTTGATGTTATTAAATATGAACATCTGCCTCCTGCTCACTTTTATCATCACTAACCCCCACCGGAACTGCAGATGTTCTCATTAGTGCTTCCGCACTTATCACTGGATCCTTGTGCCAAATGCCATATCCCCAAGGCATAGATCAGATACCATTAAACTATATAAGAACCAGTGGTTCCCCTATTCCCATCAGTTCTTCATTCTACAACTACAACATGCAATCCATCCCATCACTCCTCCAACTCCAGCCCGACCCCTCCAAGAGGCTGCTCAACCTGAAAGCCGCCTGCAAAGCCCGGAAACAACAAGAATCCTTCAAGACGGTCATGTGCAAGACCTTCGTTCGTCTGAACGATTGTCCATACGGTATCTTCTGCCGATTTGCGCACAGTCTAGAAGAAGTCCGTGCTTCTAACCGACCGGAAGAGGCCAAGTACAAAACGAAGCTTTGCGCCAACTTCTCGGTCGATGGTCGATGTCCATATGCGGAGAAATGCCAATTTGTGCACAAACTCGTGAATGGATTGCCACTCGTACTGTACGAAAAGCTTCTGGCCAATGGAGAGATCGAGCCCGCTCTTCCTCATCAGATCAAGCTCTTCCATCACTTTGACGACCCGAAATAGTACGTTTATTTACTTTGATTGTTTAATTTCATCATCTGTTTTTAGTAGTGTTTTAATTGATTTTATTCTGATTTTCTAATTTTAATTTTTGATTTTTAGCCATAGTTTTTCATTTTATATTTGCGTTAACTATTTATTTAGTAGCTGCTTATTATAGTTAATTAAAGAGTTAGTAATTAATAGCTTTGTTTACAATACATTTTAGTACTAATATACATATCACTTTATTTTATCTTATTTTTATTAATTTACTTTTTTCAGCAAGCGTCGCAAGCTCCGTTCTGGTATCGTGGTCCACATCCCGAGAACAACAGAAGAAACCTATGTCAAGCCGGTCGCCCCCCTTAATGGAACACAAGATATCACCAGTTTTCCAGCCCAAAGGAAGTGTGACAAGCTTCTCATCAGCTTCTTCTCAAACTCATTCTCAAACTCATTCGCAAATGTCGCACTCCCCCACTTTCCAACCAATCTCTCCCCCAGTTTCTTATTCTTCAGTTCCAACTGTCCAAACCAATACCATCCCAGATGATATCCCATCATTCTGCCCCTTTAATTATATTACCCCTGGGTTTGGTCGACTTGAGGGTTTTATTCCTTTATTTTAAGCTTTAGGAATGTTTTTAATTCATTATTTTAATTTTCTCTGATTTATCGACTTTAATAATTGAATTTGGCGTGCTTGCCTTGACATCTCTTTGTTGTATTATAATTTCCTTATTTTTTACTCTGATGTAACCGTTGTTGTGGTATATTACTAATTGTGTTTCTGTATAATCACATGCCATAAATAAATTCGTGATCTTATTTAAATTATCGAATACTACCACGTTGTAAGAAAAATTAAGGTAATTAGAGTTATTAGTTTAGAAAGTGTATAAATTAGTATCGTAATAAAAACAAATTTAAGTAGATATGGCTTTATTCAAATCCAAACACCGAACCGTCTATTTTATCATTACAACAACGAAAAACCAGACCCGAGCGATTTCCCCTTATTAAATGACTATAATACCCGAAAGATACATAGTTTAAACGATCGAATCATCGTCTTCTTTTCTTTTTCGCTTCTTCTTCCACCGCGTACACAATATCAATTTCAGCCTATTTTTTGGCTAGTATAAGCTAATAAAGTTGCATACCTTTAGGCGATGGTACAGTAGATTCTTGGCAAAATTCGTCATATGGATACCGTCAGTAGTATAAAAGGTACTGAAAATATTCAGTAAAAAGTTGAAGCTCCTTTTAAAAACCTTCCACAATCATAGTCCATAGTTTGACAATGGACACCATCACAAAACTCGGATTGCACCTCAAGGAAATGGCATTTCGGGCAGTGCTGACGAATGTATTCTACCCTCTTGAAGGCTTTACGGTATTCATATAAATAGTCCTAAAACTGAAAAATAGATGGAAGACTATAGTATACCTTAAACGTAAATTGAGTCTCATTTTTCGGTAATGGCGGCAGGCCTTTGGTAATTCTTTTTTGGATGTTATCAGCTAATCGACCGGGGATTTTGTGCCACGGTGTGTCGAGGACAATGTGATCCGCGTATTTTCTACAAGATTAGAGGGTTAGAAAAGTATTTAAGGTATACCCATAGACTTCAAAAGATTCCAGGGCTCGTTGGATCCAAATATCGTCTTTTGTCACATCGTGAGTGATGAAACCACCCACATATCTTGACGAGAAAATTAAGTATATGAATTGGACTCACCCGATTGACATGAAGATAATTTTTGGCTTGGCTTTTTCAAGGAGATTGAGGTCCAGCTGATACGAGTCTTTACAATTTTTAGAAAACGCTTGTTTCGGGTCGGTAAGCCAGTGCTGTTCGAAGGGCATGCAACCTGTAAAAGTATATAAAAATGCATGTTGATGTTAATTTACGGTTTTTATTTAGCTTTATCTAACCTGAATCTTACTTGTAATGGCATGGAAATACAGCTTCTTGTACCGCTTCTTCAAGGCCTTGTGAAAATGCGGGAACCCAAATCGCATAAAAGAATTCCCGAGCAGCACGACGTTAAAGCTCCCATTCCCGGACTAAAAATAATTAGTGTTTTTTAGTTGTTGTAAAAACTCACATCTTCCCCATATTTCTCATACCCTCCTAGGGTCACCTTGAAATTCTCAAGCTTCGGGAACGCGACTGGAGTTTGTAGGGCTTTGCAATCTTAATAAAGGCTTCGATACAGTAGCGAATTTTCTTACTTTTACTAAAATTAGAGGTAATTTGCATTGAGTTCATCTCGGGACCATCGTCACTTTCGTTAATCGGGAGTAGAAGGAAAATGGTGCTAATGGCAAGAAGGGCTCCTGAGAAAACAAAATTTAGCTTAGGTTTAAGCCTATTAGCCTTAATTTAACTTACCAATCCAAGCAATCGCATACCAAAAAGAACCGGTAATAAACCACTGTTCCATTGTATGATGTATTATTACAGCAATTGTTACGGTAATCAAAATTGCGAGGATAGCGGCTAGAAATTGATGATTTTACAGTTTTCCGAAAAATTACTTGGAAGAGTGATCGTCTCTTCAAAAGCCATATATTTTAAAAAGATGATCACCGGCCAGTGGGCAAGATATAGAATATAGGAGATATCGCCGAGGTACTGTATCGGCCAGATGTCAAGCACCGGTGTGGCACCTAAAATGAAAAATTTCTATACCATAATTTCTTTAAACCCACCATTTGTCGAAAAATAAATAACAAGTGCTGCCAAAAATGTCGCCAAGATACGGTCGACCTTAAAACAGATTAAATTTAAATTGAAAGGTCTACCAGCCCGTTTCCGACAGAATAAAAGCAGATTACGATAGCTAGGGCAAAAGTGGCGACGCAGAAAAAGGGGCTGAAGTCCCGTGACGGCTTTCCTGGATCAGATGAAACGTTATAGATAAATTTTTATTACCAAAGACTCGCTCACAGGACCCTTCCTCTTCTTTTTCTTCATCACCCGACCCTTCTTCCATAAGGATTTTGTACTCCTGCCCATTTTCAAGGGTTGTAGGGTGGATCTGAAGTTGTGGGGTAGACTAAAATTAAGCATTCCAAAAACCTGATTTGACTGGCGTTTTTGGCTGATTTCATACACGAGGAGACCAAAAAAGAATTGCCAGACTCGGCAGGGTAGCAGGCCAAATCCAATACCGGGAGGTAAGGCCTGGAAATGTTTTTGTAATTTTTAATCTAGGTTTTTGCTCGGAAAACGTCATATTTAATAAACCAATATATAAGTCTAGAGTATACTAAAGGGACGGAGAAAGTTTTACTACAGACTTTGGCGGTTATGGACTTTCTATGCATTTATTCGGCGCTTGCCGCTGACGCTGCAAAAATCCGTAGAACCATCCCTTGCCGGTCCCTTTAATAGTGCAAAACATTCAATGTTCTTCCAAATTCACATTTCATTCTATGATTAGACAGAAGCCCCTATGCGGGGGCTCGCCAAAAAACGGAAGTGTTGTCGAGGCACGTTAGCATTGGCAGGTGCACAAACCAGCCATTGAAGGCTTGTACGGGGGATTGAGGTACAAGACCACGGCGGATGGTCTTAATTTGGTCTCCTCACCGGAAAGACCAATGCTTACGGAGCAATACATGACCAAAATCAATACTAAAGTCCCGTGGAAAAGCTCCCGGATTTCCGGTCGGTCTTTAGGGAACATGACTTTTGGGAAGCATTAGTGTAGTATTTTTGTAGTTTTACAGTATAATACAGCTATGATTAGACTAGAAAAACTATTTAAAAACTTTACATACATTTTGAAAAAATTGATATTTCGTAAAAAATTTCCGTTTTTAATAATGCGTAAAGTTTTTGCATTCCGAAATAGCAAAAATCGCTTAGACAGCTTCTCTTATTTGTATTTGAAGAATTGAACCCTTAGAAAACAAGGTTCCCCCGATAATGCCAAAGAACCAAAAAAAGTCCATACATACCAATTGACATCCGATAGAGGCGAGGATCACGATCAAAGAAATCAAGAGCCGTGAATAATATCCAACGGCTAGCATACAAAGCATCACGAACGGCACGAAGACGTAATACTGTAGCTCGGCAGAGAGGGACCATGTATGCGTCAATAGTTTATAGGCTGTTAACTAGAAAATCAGCTTTTTAAAGAACCATCTGTTAAAGTACCTCCTCAAAATAGTCATATTCGTGAAATAATGGTTGCATGTTGCTGGTCAAAGTCAATGACCAGATAGCATCGCTACGTAAAATTCGTAAATCTTTAGCCACAAGAATGGCACGTGCTGCGACAAGAACACTGGCGATTGTTAATCTAAAATATGTAAACTTTAAATGAAACCCAATGACTGTTTTTACCTTTAACAAATTAATGTAAAATCACTTACATATAAATCGGCAGAATCCGTTTTATACGGCGTTGCAAAAACGTAAGAGTTGATGAGACCGTAACCCCGCTTTTTGAGAGAATCATAGTCATTAAATAACCGGAAATGACGAAGAACCTGAAATTTAGGGGTTTTGAAGCTTCAGGTTTTGCTTACATATCAACCCCAAGAAATCCATTCCGCGCGAGTCCTGAATTCAGGTGGAAGATAATAACGGCCACGATGGCGAGGGCGCGGAGCGCTTGCACGGCCCCCGATTTTTGTGTGGCCGTCATCTAAAAATATATGAAAAAAATTTGCTGGCATATTTATGCTAAAAAAGTGTGCAAGAAGGTTGTGAAAGGGAATAAATTTTTCTCACAATGAAGGGAAACGTGACGCGTAGCGTGGAATAAATGTGGCAAATTTTACAAGAATGCCAGGAAATTGCAAAAAGCCCTTGCTCGTGGGGTTACTTCCAAATCTCGAAATTCATAATGTCGAAATTAGCGATGCCGAAAATCATAGTGTCTAAATTTAAGGATGTTAAAATTTAAACAAGCAAATCATCCGGAAAAACATCCAAAACGATGCAAAAAATTAGAAATATTGAAATTCCGACATTATGAAAGGTCGGCATTATGAATTTTTGACGTTATGAAAGTTCAAAATTACGACAGCAAATTTTTATACAAATAAAATAATGCATAACATGAATCTAATCCACACACAATCTACACAGTTTTAAATGGATTCTGTCGGTCGGCCAAAAGCGGTGCAGCTCGGCTCAAAAAATCAGATTCCGATGCTCCAAAAAGTGGAGCATAACCTTAACAGATAAAACCCTGACTGCGCCCAAAAACTCGCTCATCGACCTTTATTATTCCACAAAAAAACAGCTGCCAATTCTGGCCAATTCAGCCGTATTGGTCGTCGACCAGCGCAAAAACCCGGGGATAATGATGTTTCCGTCCTGTCCCCCGGTAGGTATCCTGCGCGTATTACGTGTATTTTTGAGTTTTGTGCCGGTACTGGACGCAGGTGGAGCGCGAATTTAGTTCCTCAAAGCCGCAAAAATGGCAAAATGGCAAGTGTGCTCTTGTGGGCATTTATTTGATCGTTTGGAGATGACCGTGACACCTTCCCAAAAATTTCTTATCTGAATGTAGGAGAAATACGGTGCAGTTTCGTCTGGTGATAGCAAGCAGTAAGCCACACCCAGCCAAAAGTAAATAATATATTTTTGAAAATATGGACGGTACCTAGGGCATAAAAATGACAGAAAGTTACGGAAAGTCCGGGAAAACGCACTCGACATCTGACCGTTTTGTAGATGAACGCGTGCCATCGAAATTTGCAAATTTAAACTTTTCAAAGCGACATGCATTGCAAATTTCTAAGGCAAAATAGCATAAAGTAAATAAGCTATCAACAAAAATCGTTTTTAGTACTTTTTTATACAAGTTTTCAGGCAGTATTTTGTGGGATTTCGCGACGATCGTTGCTTTCGAAAATTCTCGCCAAAACGGCAATAAATAAAATAACTCTAGAAAATACTACATTATTAAGAATGACACGAAATCTGAAATTTATAATAAATAATCACTAATTAAAGGACTGCCACCTACAGTAACTCCACCCCATGGCAGACCTCTGATGGCAAAAATTTCTCAAAAAAGGCCGGCGCCCTGAAAGTCCCCCTGTATGCCCCCGAATATCGGCAGCTGGTACAATACAAACCCCCCGATATTTTATGGTCTCGCTCGGTGAATCGCCCAGCTTGTGAATGGCTTTTTCTTCATAAACCTTAGAAAATGTTGTAACAGCTGCGCCCACCAAATCAGCCAGCCACGTCGAACACTACTTTACAAAATCTACTGCGATCCGGGCGCCATTTTCTTGTTAAAATTACCAAACTTATCTAGAAAAGAGGTGATAATGATTTTTAAACTTATTTTTGCATATTAACGAGGTAATTCTACTCTAAAACAGGTAAATTAGCAGTTTTTAAATTTCCCTAAGCAATTAAAATTTATTAAGATCCAACGGAACCATTGTCTACGCTTTAGGCGATGGAATTCAAAATATTCATGCTGCGTTATTAATTCTGCTAATTGCTAAAAAACAACAAATTTTTCAAAAAAATTCATAAAAAAGAAACATGACATTTTCAGAATCGCCAATTCTCCCGAAATTCAATCCAAAAAATTTTTTAGCATCGCATAAATTTAATAAATAATATAATAAAATATAACTTTAGCGGTAATCTAAACGTCAAAAATGCATTTTTTAAACAGTAAAAACTATGCAGTCCTATCAATAGAACCAAGCGCTATCAAATGGCACTAAAACGGTGGTCGAGAAAAATGACATGCCATACTGACGACTTTTTCTGATTCAAAAAATAAGGAAAGTTTCAGCATCGACGTTTCTCGAAATCTATTCCCACAACATTTTTAGCATCGCATAAATTTCATAAAGCCTGAGAAACGAATTTTTCAGGGGTCACACGACGGCGCCGGCTGATATTTTGCATTCGGCAAATCCAATCCCGTATTCCCATATCTGGTTGCCCCGGGTGATTGTTTGGGAATTAACAATGGGTGCTTATTGCTAGTCCTCAGGTAATGGGTAGGTTTTCGATGTTCACAAATGGCTTCAGCATCTACATTGTACTTTAGATAATTATGTAAAATCTTAGAAGGAAGTGCAGACGTACTGGGAGAGATTCCGGATATCAGTTTGATCAAAAATCTTTTGAAAATTATTTAGACTTCTGGAGTTAAGAATTATTTTTCAAACGCTAAGAATAACAGAAACCGGTGTTTTTAAATTTTTAAATAGCGTCCCTAAGCAACGTGCAATAGGCTGGAAAGGGCGTTGCCAAAATCGAAAATTTCAAGCGGATTTTGTGGTATCTGCGTTCGATTTGGAGTGATACGCCGTTAGCACGGCGAGCAAATATTACATTGGTGACGAGAGGATCGCAAACTTTTATAGGTATATTTTAACGAACTTTCAGCATGTGCCCTGGTAAAACTGTTTAGCAATATTGTTTTGTTTAAAACAATGTATTTGGTATAGATTTATTCATGAAAATAAGATTTTTTTTCAATGAAAGAGATATGACAGTTAATCTAGCAAAAAGAAAAAAATTTGCATGTGCGGGGATCGAACCCGGGTTGTTCGCTTGTTAAGCCCGCTCTTAACCACTAGGCTACGTGACAAAATCGCTAGCCACGCTTTTTGGAACTTTCGTTTTATCTTAATTTGCATTAGTTTTTCTCTCGAGCGCCCTTTAAACCTCGCCGATTTTGACAATTACAAGCTGCGGTTCCTTTACTATTTGCCGCCGATCGTCTGTAGGACACGACTTTCCGCGGAAAATTCTATTTGCATATCCGGCACCTCCTGTTCGATGTCGATGTTTTAATAAATCATTTTTATTGGCGACTGGTCTGTGGCATCGATTCCAATATTTTGGTAAATGCAGCTTTTGCAACCGGGGTTTATTAACATCTTTATTAGCCTCATAAATGGCGGAAATTAAAGGGAGTATAGTAAGTGATTTTGGCGAGATCCGGCGGGGTACGGTAAGAGGGAAAGCTTTTTGTCCACATTATAGCACTTGAATCTTTGGGGTAAAGCTATTTTCGGATGGATTTGAGGGTACTCAAGCCAAATTTTGACTTTTGTAATGTGAGTAAACGGGTTAATTCATGAGTAAGATTTGGATTCTGGTTAGTAATAAAGTTTTAATATATATCTGGAAAGTATGGTTTTTAAAATATTATACAATGACTAGAAAACAGTTGGGAATTGATCCCGCCCGATCCGGATAATAAAAAAACCAATAAAAATGATTTTAAAGGGAGCGTGCCTTTAAAATAAAGTACAAAATTCTAGGCGACTTGGTGAATGTTAATAATAGGTAGTCGAAGCCCGGCACGTTGTATCTGGGTCTTCAACTTCTCAGCCGCATTTCTAAAGAGCGTCGTCGGGGTGGACGATGTCGATTCGGAGCAGAGGCTTGTCGTGCTTTGCCAGGTTGTTTTTGACTGCATAGCTTTCAGGTCTTGGATCATGTCTTCTGGTGAAGACTTCCGGCGGTAACCTAAAAAGAAGAATTTAAGTGTTTAAAGGGATGGTGACACATAGGGGATCAGGCCGCCGGCAAAACATTTTCTAACGAAATTAAAAGCGGAAATCAACGCTTCTAGTTCCTTTTACATATGAAAATGTGCAACACTAGAAACGTGCTAGAGCAAATTACCCAAAATTTAAATGCCAATTACGCAAATCCGCTTAAAAATCTGTTTTCCTAAAAAATTTTTAGATGCACAAATGAAATTTCAAAGGATGGTTTTAAGATAGCCTGTAGAAGGTAAGACCCACCTAAGAGATTTTCGGTAGATGCACACAGTCGGTGCCCAACCTGCAGCAGCGGGGGCAGTAAATTTTTATGTTGATCGTCAAATGTGGGCCGCTTGCTGAGGAGGAGGTCGATTTCTTCGGGGATTGGCATGTCAGCAATCATTGTTTCTGAAAAAATATCATAAACTAGTAATTATTGCGAACGGAAACGGGAAAAAGGAATGAAAATAAATCAGCAGGAGCTCTTGAAAAGTGATGCTCACCGCCAAAGTAACACCTCAAGAAAACTCAAAATCAGCTAGCTAATGAAAGCAAATTCGCCGAACACTATATACGGCAAAAAAATTAGCCCGACAGGCTAGCCAACCAGCCAGCAGTCGGCGCCACCGAGTGAGTGATTTCGAAAAAATTTCCCAGACCTACAAATTGATATTGGAGGGTGAGGAGGAGGATGGGGTGTGAGGATGAGAGCGGATCAATGTGATGCCCAGGAATGTTTGAAAAAGAGTGATTGCCGAAAATAGGGTTATTGGGTCCTGGATTATAATTAAAAAAATTGGAGTTTTCTGAAGTCTTAAAATTCAATACAAAATTTTAAAATTAAGAATAGTGTTTTCATAACGTTGAAAAAAGTTAAAATTAAATTAGAACTTTGTATTTAAAGGACTAGGAATCAAAAAAAAGCAGCCAAAAATTCCAGGCCTTTCCCTGGCATTGCAGTGATAGCCAGGGGTTGTGACGTGCTGCTGCTCCTTTATACGGCCAAAAGGTCTATCAGAAAAGAAGGAGGAGCACGAGAGTGAGTGAGAGAGATCTTCGTTTAGCAAACCGTAGATAGAGCACGGGATGGTTGCGTGTGATTCAGGCAATGCGAAATTAAGCCGCCAGCATAACGGGTTCGCGGCTTTTCCCTTGTTTAGCAAAGTGGTGGCGCTGGTTTATGACGCGTTACCGTAGGCCGGGTGGGGGTACGGTAGGGGTGTGGTTTTGGGTGTGGTAATGGGGTTTTGGAACTGGGTCTAGCGTATTTTGTGCAGAGTTTTCTGGCGATCCAAACGTGCTATATAGAATTCCTGAAACTACAGAATTAAAGAAATTATGAAGCAAAAAATGCGAAATTACTTTTGACAACGTAAAGTTTGCGGAATAGTTAGGGCTTCTGAATCAAAAATTTTTTAAATTCTCTTCTTGTTTTTAAAAATGCTAAAATTAAAAGATCTTTTAAATGCGCTGGTCCGGCAAAAACTGCGAAATCTACGAAAAATTTCCAAAGTAAATTTAGAAACGCTAACGGGAATGAAAATTCTGAACATAAGTCTGCCTACAGTACGCACTACAACCCTAATGACGGCCCGAAAAATCTCCACCTCCAAAACCCTAAATATTTATCCTCCGAAATACACCAACCCCAATTATCTCCTTCGTAGGCCCACTGTACTTTACCCTAAATATTGCCCTCTTCTCCTGACGCGCACCGGAAATTGGGAACCCTCGAAACACGAGTAGCAAATATTTTGTCTATAGTCGATGACCTCAATTTGACTCGTTGGCCACTCGCCAAGTTGTGGTCAGCAAAACCCATATTTAAAGAAAGTGCACTGACCCTACAGTAAGTCTAAAAAGCTCAAAAGCATCGAAAAAAATTGGATTCTGATTCCATGTGTAGCGGGCGGGGGAGACTTATACCGACATCGAGTTCATCAAAATTCATTGAACATCGCTATTTTACGGTGGGAATTTGTGCGACGGTTCCGCGGGGGGTTCCATTTTTATGGGAAATTTATTCCGGAAGCTTCGAGTGTAATGGTCAACGTCAAAAAACGTCATATTTCGAAAGGAATCGTGGGCGCGAGAGTTGATTGTATTCCTCCGGGGGTTAGGGTAGAACATGGAATTTATTCCGAATTTTTCTGATCAAGAAAATACCGTATTTCCTACGATTTATTTTTGATTATTTTGTATATTTTTCGAAAAAGTCATAATAATTTTTAAACAATCGCAGCTGCTAAAAATATTTAATTGATTGATTCCCACTACGAAAAATTCTCTAAAAATACAAAATTAAAGAAATTTAAACTTGACAATATCGGAAAAATAAAGACTTACACGAGAAAAATACGATAACCAAATATATAGAAGAATTTAGAACACAAGTCCTAATCACGTTTCAAAGCACAATGATGGCCCGAGCTCGGCGAAACACCTCAAGTTCGCCTGCATGTCCTGCGACGGCCTGCCGGGGAACAATGTGACGTCGAAATCGGCTGAACGTGTGGACAGATAAGGATATCGACAGACGGACAGACGATTGGTTGATGATAACTAAAAAATCAGGGGAATCACTAGGGATTGTTATATAGTTTTATTTAATGGCGCGAAGTGTCGTGCAGAACTTAAGACTTAAAGGGACGCGCAATGTATATCTATGGGTTTTAAGATGAAGGGTTACGAGTCGCGTTGCGTGTCGCGCCGCAGATCGCACTGCATGGCGCGTTGCAGGGCGCATTGGCGTCGCGTCGCGTCCCTTACCAATGCCGATTTTAAAAATAACGTGTTTTCGTAATTGCTAAAGCAGTTTAACTAAAAAAAATTGCTAATGCCGGCTAATAAAAACTTCATTCGAAGTTCAAAAATTTAGCGCGGCCATAAATTGACGAGTTCCGCCAAAAAGTTAAGCTGACGAAATTATAAATTACGTTTTTTATCTTTTCCCAACTTTTAAAGCCCCCCTCATCACTCGAATTCCACAGCTATTTTGTTGTTTCGTGCCCTTTCTAATAGCTCCAATAGACCTATCAATTTGTTTCCCAAACTGTCAGCCCCCATGATAGCACGATGATTTCACCGGATCTCCGTCTCGCCCCCTTGTTTCCCACAGCACAAAACGCGCAATAATTTGCCAACCTGCAGGCGGCACGTTATGTCTTACTCATTGCTGTTATTTTACACGGCTTCTGGAATTCGGCAGATTGCCAACGTTCTGATTTGATTCTACTTTTATGCGATTTTTGATCACTTAGAATTGAGAGAGGAATTTGTGATTTGTATAGCATTTCGTAGCTTTTTTAATTACTGAAAAATATACCGTATCTTTGCAATAGAAGCTCCTTTCTAATACGGCCTACCCCTGCAAAAAATTGTTAGAGCGACCTTTGATTTTGTCTATACTTAATTATTTTTTAACGTAAATGCTTTTATTTAATTAATAAAATAAACTAAAAAAAACACGAAATAGAAAGCTTACTCTGCATTTTCATCGAATTCTGAAAGTCCTATTTGGGAATACGGTAATAATTTCATAACCATAGATCCAGAACACCAGCTGTTCCTTGAATACCCTTAAATCCGACCAATCCCAAGATTATATTAAACTTTGAATTCGGATTAGGGTAGTTTGATGCACCCTCCTCGAACACAACTACAATAACCAACCAAAATATGGTCATCGCCCGATCTTTTCCCCTACAGTCCCCCAATCATAATTTGAACGGAAACGAGGGTGTTGTCCATGATCAGATGAGGCATCCAGTTCCGGGTGCTTCTTACCATTTAATAAGGATTTAGGGATTTGCGAAAGATTTAATAACACGGGATTTGCTAGAGGATCTTGGGTGTTGGCTACGGTATTTGCGTATTAGAGATTTTTTGAACTGGGTGTGTCAGCAATAAGCTATAAATCAAGCTGACAAATGCTTTGCAATTGGATTTTTTTGTGTTTTGAATGGGAGTTGAGCACTCAAAAAAAACCCTTTTAAGGATGTCGAATCCTAAGCCTAAGCTCAAGCCTAACAAGCATGAGCCTGCGTAAGACTAAGCCGAAGCCTAAGTTGAAACCAAGCCTAACCCGAAGCCCCAACCTATTTTTTTTGCGCCTTTTTAAGAAATAACCTTCCCCTCCTGTCACCACCCCTTTAACCCCCAAAGCTACGAAACCCTCCACTTTGCACCCTCAAATTCCTGTATGAGGTGTGGTCCCCCTTTTCTGCGGTGTGTACGAGGGCGTATATTGTTCACATAAGATGACACATTCCCTCATCGACTCCCGTTCCTTCCCCCCTTTCCCTCCGATTTCTCTTGGCGTTTAGAGTTGCTAATGGTCCTTTGTACACCTATGAACACGTGCCCCCACCCTCAACCACACCTCAAATTAGTCACAACGTGAAGAAAGCTAGTGAGAAGTAGAGCGAAAATGGTAATTTCGGGGTTAGTAAACTCATCGCGTTTTTTTTGGTGAAAAATACAAGGTGTCCAAAAACTAGCTCTAATTAGTCCACACATTAGACGAAATGGATACCGTAAGAAACAGGGTTAGTTTCAAAATGTGGAAGTCGTTTTCTTTCGACCCCTGTCTTTCTTGCTATTGTTTTTACAGCAAAATTCTTCTGCTATCAATCGACCGAACCGATCAGGGGAACGACAAAGAACCGCAAGTTCTCAGTCCGGCCAACCCATCCGTCCTCGCCGGGTTATTTCGAGCCCCAGCTGCCGCTCCCCAAATGGACCGTGATGACCGTTTTGATTTTGAAAGAACATTGGCGAATTGAGTGTAGGTGTGGGAGGAATTTTTGGAGTTTGGGGGTGAGTAAAAATGTAAAAATCTACCGGTCTCTCCCTCCATCCCTCTCTCTCGCTCTCGCTCTCTCTCTCTCTCTCTCTCTCTCTCTCTCTCTCTCTCTCTCTCTCTCTCTCTCTCTCTCTCTCTCTCTCTCTCTCTCTCTCTCTCTCTCTCTCTCTCTCTCTATCTCGCTATCTCTCTCGCGCTCTCTCTCTCTCTCTCGCTACCTCTCCCTCTCTTTCTTTCTCTCTCTCCCGCTCTCCCCCTCCATCCATCTCTCTCTCTCTCTCTCTCTCTCTCTCTCTCTCTCTCTCTCTCTCTCTCTCTCTCTCTCTCTCTCTCTCTCTCTCTCCCTCTCTCTTTCTCTCTCTCTCTCTCGCTCTCTCTCGCTCTCTCTCTCTCTCTCTCTCTCTCTCTCTCTCTCTCCTCTCCCCCCTCAATCACCAAAAAGCCGCAACGTTCCGTATTTTCGATGATCCCAATGTCTGGCAATCGCTGTTTTCTGACCCCGACTCTCGTTTCCTGCCCTTCTACACTAACCCACTCCCCCAAAAAAGAGTCCAAAAGCAACACAAGGAATGATGGCTTGTTTTCTTGGCCCAGATTTT